CTATAATCCTAGCTACTCAGGAGGCTGAGATCTGAGGATCCCAGTTCAAAGCCAGCCAGGGCAGAAAAAGTCTGACTCTTATCTCCAATAAACTACTCAGAGAAAGCTGGAAGTGGTGCTGTGGCTCAAGTGGTAGAGTGCTAGCCTTGAGCACAAAGAAGCTCAGGGAAATGCCCAGGCCCTGAGTTCAAGCCCCAGGACCAGCAGAGAGAGAGAGAGAGACTTCCTGAGCCCCTTGAGCATTTCATTTCTCCAGGGGAATGTGGTTGTTGAATTACTGATACAAAAAATGAGATGTCTCTAAGTGTGAAAAACATTTTTTCAAGTTTTGAGGGCTTCTTCTGTGACTATGAGGTTTCGGTGGCATTTATTATTTCAAAGCTTCATGTTCCGTCTTGAAATGTGTAAAGGGTGAGCGGATCGGCTTTTCTCGGGCATACAGAGCAATTGCTCCCAACCACACTTGACCTCAGCCGACAAGCTGAGAAGTTGTGGCAACAGGCCAACGCGCTGGTGACAGACCAGATCAATGCATGGCGAGATTTTATGATAGCCGTCTTTGGGATAGATAGGAAGACGATTTCTTGGGTTGATGGCTTTGTCATTACATGTGACCCAACTGTACTGTCTGCAGAGTTACTCCGCTATGATCGTAATTTATGCCTGTAGTGTGTACGTAGCATGGCTTTCTAGAGAGGCTAAAGCTTAGTCTCCCATTCAAGATATCACAGAGATACTTGAAAAATGTCAAGCTCAGTACTGCTGTTAGATATTCATAATAGAAGGATGACATTAGGCTCTTGAGAATTCTCATGAAACGTCTCAAGCTCAACAGATTTGGGTCTTAGGGGAAATTAATCAAATACTTCTGTTCTTCCTTTTAAATCAGTCAACCAGATCAGAGCATTTAGTAATAGAAGAAAAGGAACTGGGTTCTCTAGATTCCTAGTTTCCCTGGAGCTCAGCAGTTCCATCAGATGATAGCTAGAACTTTGGCTTAAGGTAAGAGATCATTATGGTAGTTACTGTTTCAGGATATCTGTAACCTTGCTTTGTCTCCTTTCCTGTTGCTTGTGAGAGAGTTGGGCGAGGTTTAGTGAAGAGATTACAGGACTTTCTCCGTGTCCAGCCAGCAGGTCAGCAGCGGAGTCCAGTCCCGGTCAGCGCCTCCTTCAGTACCTCACTGTCACGCTGGGTCCCTGAGCAGTTTCAGGGGATTGAAGAGGAATGTTTAAAGAAGAGATATACAATGGCACAGTTTTGTCCAATTAAAAAGCGACATGCCTTAGAATAGTAAGAACCCAACTCATCTCCTACCTGACACGGAAGGCATAATTGCTTTGGGCTCAGCGCTGTTCAAACATTTGTAAGGAGTAGACGATCCCATTCACTCAAGAGTGCATTTCAGTCACCGCCAAGTATTTCCCGACACACAGCTCACCTCCTTCTGTGACTTTAGAGAAACCCAGGCGGTGAGCGGCACAGGAGGCCGGTGCTCACGCTCGCCCGGAGGTGGAGCGAGAGGGCTAGAAGTGGGGAAGGAGATGTGGAGAACAGGTACCTTAATGTCTTCATGTCATGTTCTTGGGGGATCGGTTTTTTTCTTCTTTAAACTTAGCCTTCAATATTAAGCCCTGGCGTGGAGACATCTACCTGAGGGACCAGGTAGGCCCTCGAGAATCTGGAACATTCTTATGAGGTCTCGAAGCCACAGGCCTAGCCTGTGATGGCACATCCCAGTCTCTCAGAAGGAAGTGAGTCGGGAAAGTTATTTCTCACAGAACGCTGTGCTGATGAGAAGGAGTTCTACTATTAAATTACTGTTTAATTCAGGGTCATGAGAGCGGGTCATGCCGGGATGAGATTTCCTTGTCTTCACTGGAAGACGCTTGGCTGGGCTGGGAAGGGCCGAGGACCCGGGCTTGTGTCGCACACCACCTGACCCACCCTTCCCCCTGACGGAAAATCCCCTTAACACTTGATTAGAGGACGCTTTAAAAACTCTTTTATTAGGATAACATTTGTGGGCAAGAAAGGATAATTCACACCTTTTTAAATTAACAAAGGTACACATCAGTATGATTCAAATGAATTGCTGATATTTGACTGAAGACAATATTAATTTTAAAGTAGTATCCTTACACTGCAGCTCATCTGTGTCAGTACCGTTATATGCAAGTGATCAAACCAAATGAAAATTCATAGACTCAACATTGTCAGTACTTATCAAAGATTGTGCGCCCTAACTTTCTTGAGTTTTGACTTTCTTCGGCTCTAAATAATCAAAAGCTTATGTTTCTTTGTCCACAGTAGGTACTCAGTGTTTGCTGGATGAAAACAAGCAAGGAACATTTTTACATTGAGGTTTGCAACACAAAACGACTTTGGAGTATTTCAGTATAAGAACTGTATTTTTGGAGTTTTCATGAGGAAAAAAATAATATTCCATTAACCAGTTTTAAAATTTGGAACAGAAAACAGATTATTGTTCTTAACGTATAAAACCTGTATTTCCCATGTTACGGCCACTGGAAAGCGAGAGCTCAAGCACAGGAAGAAGATGGAGAATTGTAGGGCTGGGGTAAAGCTCGGTGGCAAAGTGCTTGCCTAGCAAGTGCAGCGTCCTGGATTTGATCCCCAGGGCCAACAAAGAGAAGACAAAAAACACAGTTAAAAAAATAAGAAGATGGGAAATGGGAAAGCGCTGAAGCGAAATGAAGACGGAGCTGAGATGCGAGCCAAGACGGGAGACGCACCGGCCTGAGCACAGAGCTGCTGAGCGAAGGCAGCATGGCGGAGCCCTGCGCCCCGCACGGAGCGGGCCGCCCAGGCGTCAGTCAACAAGCACAGCGCCCACCGCCCCACGAGGTCCACACCCACGCAGCGCACAGCCCCGCCCCGCAGCGGCGTGTGCACACACACTAGATGACCCCTGGGGGAAGAAGCCACTGGAAGGTGCGAGAAGGCTACAGAAAAGATGCACGGCCGAGCCTTGAAGTCGGCTGCGAGGTGTGTGGAAATGGGGTCCGAAGGGGGGAAATTCTGGCAGACAATCGATGGCGGGAGTTTGGCATGGCTGGATAGGAGTATATTAAGTTGAATAAATTAAAATACAATTTTGGAGGATGGAGCCGGGATAGGGCCCCATTTTTTTAAGGCAGTGATACTTTTTTTAAGTTCACTCAAACATCAGGTAGCTGTGAGTGCTCGTGACGGAAGCGGGCTTTTGGGTGAGGAAATGGCGTGCTTTGATTCTCTTAGGAAGGGTGAAGCGAGGATGTGTGGTGCTTTGGCTCTGAAGATGCCAACACCAGTCAAGGTGCGGCGTGCCAGCAGCATCTCCGGGGCCGGCGGCGCTGCCCGGTCAGGACGGGCGGCCTCCGGCCAGCGGCCTCAGCTCGGGCGCACCGCGGCCCGCGCTACAACCCAGGCACGCGAGACGCTGGTTCCCCAGTGTATCTGCCGCACAGGCCAGATAAAGCCAAGACTGGAGCCCGGGTTGACTCATGTTAACCCCAGTCTTGGAAGCCTTACACGAACACACTGTGTGGGGTACACCAGAGTTAACTCTTTTTTAAAGTGAAGAACTTCCGTTCGCTTTTGCGGAGCGCCCTCACGTCCCAGCCCCTGGCAAGCTGCAGGTATTTTGCTGGCTGAGATTCGAGACTCATTAAGAAATTGGAAACTTTCATGGAAATTTTTTCTCTATGTTTTCAAAGTTTAATTTCCTCTTTAGCATCTACTAATCTGCACAAGGATATACATTTTATTTGTGAGATAACAAGGGTACATTTCTTTTACAAACGGCATCTAATATTTTCTCTGAATTAAAAAAAATTAAGATGGGGCTGGGAAGGTGGCTCAGTGGTAGAGCGCTTGCCTTGCATGCATGAGGCTCTGGGTTCGATTCCTCAGCACCACATAAGCAAAAAGAAAAAAGCCGGAAGTGGTGCTGTGGCTCAAGTGGTAGAGCGCTAGCCTTGAGCTGAAGAGCTGAGGGACAGCGCCCAGGCCCAGAGTTCAGGCCCCACAACCAACAAAAAAAAATAATAATATATATCTATACCTAAGATGGATATAAACCATTTTAGGTATTCACTTGATATATATGTATTATGACGTAGGCATTGTTACACACAGATAGGTGTGTATGGTGGCTATTTTAGATAAGGGCTGTCCAGTAACTTGCTGTAGAAAATTATGTCTATCTTCAGTTCAAATGGTGAAGTGAAATGTGTTTTATTTATGCCACTATAATTGACTGTATTAAGCCACTGTCTGGAATTCCCTGAAGCAACTTGCTTAGACTTGGGTAATAGGCACTCAAGACATTTGAACCTGAGATTCACCTGTTGGAGAAAGAAAAGAGCATTTCCCTCCCTCCTTCCCTCCCTCCCTCCCACTCCCTCCCTCCCTCCTTTGGCCTCCCTTGTCCCCCTTCTCTTCTCTGCTTTGGGAAGATGTTATTAATAGCTCTGACCAAAAGCATCCTCTAGGGGGAAGGCCCTGTCACACTAGTTTTAAAGAGGAGAGAATCAGGACCAGGTAAGTTTTCCACATGCCACAGGCAGTCAGGGGTTGACTCTGCCATAGAACTTTCGACACCATTTTCTATTCACATCATATTTGAGGATAATCCCTTCCCCCAAAAAAGTTTAAAAACAAAACAAAAAACCTAGAAAGTCCCCAGGTGCATTGTCTAAATGATCTGCCCACATCCTTGGACCTCTGTCCATGACAAATGAGCTGTGCGGGGAGCTAGCTCTGGTTTGGGAAACATCAGTTTCTATGACTCTTTTTAAGTCTGTCTACACTTTTTTTGCATTGAAACCGCTGTAGAAAATCTAGTTAAAACATTAGATGTTCTAACTCTTGCTCACTCTTTTCCAAGTTCCAATTTGGAAATATAACCAGGGAGACAAAGGGATCAATGTGGAAGTAACATGTATAATAACATTTTATTTAAAATGTAAAGGCTTTCTCCCCCTCTAACGGAGATCTGTTAGAAGCAAAAGTTAAAAATCTCCACCTAAACGATATATATGCATAATATATAGTTTGCTTCAACCATCAACTTTAGAATTTTATCAATCTTGTAAACTCTAAAAGAAAATATAGGTACACAAATACACTTTAAAAGTCCTAACTTTCCTTTACAAAAGAAAATTCGAATCTCACATTTTTTCCTCATAAATGTACACAGTATGATATGTTAGAAATGTAAGGCTTTCAGAAGGTTTCACAAAACCTCGGGACCATCCTCACCCTCGCCGAAGCGAAAGGACATGCGCAGAATTTTCATTTCTTTTCCTTGAGAGGGAAAACGAGGCGGTCACTTTTTGTGAAAGAGGAGTGGCTTCACCATTCCCGCCAGGATCTTCGGTAACTGCGCGGCGATCACCTCTGACATCATCTCCGGGAACTCCACCGCCAGCGCCCGGGACTGGATGAACGTGTTCAGGCAGTACAGATGAAGCTGCTTGACCAGCTGCCGTTGGCAAGCGGGGGAAAACACGAGAAGGACAACAGTGAGTTCATGCGCTCTCCAGGCATAGCCTCTTTTTCTAACATTAGAATTAACTGGTCAAGAGGTTTCTTCCTCTACCAAATGAAAACTCTCCCACTGCCCTCCCACCAGAGAAACCTAGAACGATGATCTACACGCAGTGAAACAGCCCAACGATACGAAAGATGTAAAGCAATGAACGTTGCCTGTATTTCCACAGGGTAGCCAAGTTGAATATTTTGGTGCATTTTTCAAGTTTTTTTTTTTTTTTTTTTGGTCCGGTTGTGGGGCCTGAACTCTGGGCCTGGGTGCTGTCCCTCAGCTCTTCAGCTCAAGGCTAGTGCTCTACCACTTGAGCCACAGCGCCACTTGCGCCTTTTTTTTTTTTCTGCTTATGTGGTGCTGAGGAATCGAACCCAGGGCCTCATACGTGCATGGCAAGCGCTCTACCACTGAGCCACCTTCCCAGCCCCTTCAAGTTTTTTTTTTTTAAAGATGTGTGGGCATGCACAAACACACAAACTACTGCACACACACATTCAAAACTCAGTTATTTCAGAAATTCTATTTGTTAATCACTTTTCATTCATATAACAATAGATTGACTATTATGTCCGAAACCCAACAGAATGAATTGCAATCTATTATTTTTGTCAAAGGAGTCCAACGTACTTAATTTCACAAGTCACACGGCACAGCCAGAACACCAAAAGAAGCGGCAGCAGAAACACCCACAGCTCTGTTCTCATCCCGGCTTCCCACACAGCTACTTTGAATGATTTGGGGGTGCGGGCAGTGTTTTTGACACATATCTCTGTATCTCGAATGAATTTTTTGCCATACAATTTTAGTATTGATACTACACGTTTATGTTGGGTTTGTCTTGTCCTTGATTCCCACTTCCTTTCTTATATGACTTTATTTTGCAAGAGCTCTCTTACATGTTTGCTTCCTCCACATTTATTGCCGTCATCGATAAATTCTGACAGCAATGCAAAAGTATCATCTGTGTCTGTGTGTGTGTGTGTGTCTGCATACATACACACACATGTGTGCAATCCTGTTTGAACTTGGCCTGGGCACTGTTCTTGAGCTTCTTTTGCTCCATGTTAGCACTCTACCACCTGAACCACACCGCCACTTCCAGCTTTTTTGGTAGTTTACATGGACCTCATTGCCTGGGCTAACTTCTGACCAGGATCCCCGGATCTCAGCCTCCTGAGTAGCTAGGATTACAGGCATGGGCCCCTGGCACCTGGCTCAAAGGTATCATCTTAACACAGTTACACTCACTGACATCTACCAGTTCCATTTCCCCCTTGATGTATTTTATGGCTCCAATCTAGACTCAAGACAGTTTTGCCTGGCTCTTGTGCTAAGATATGATTTTGATTCTTCTTCCTCTAATTACTTCATTGTAACATCCTAAGGTAATTCTTGAAAAAGGCTGCATCTAAGAAAAGACTCTCAGGAGACTGCAAATAGGAAAACAGGGTTGCCATTATACTTGTGTGATGGTTTGGCTGAAGATTTTCTTTGCCATCACATTCTGTAGGCCTTGTCCCACTGTCTTCCAGCTTCCATTGTTGCTACTCAGAAGTCAAAGAGGATCTCCAAGTGCTAATGGTTTGCATATGCTTTGTGCATGGTATATTCAAGGTATTCTTTTCACTCCTAGGATGCTGATGCATTGTAATAATGTTCTTTGGTTCAGTGGTGTGGTGCCTACATCGGCCCAGTCCTTCCTCCACAATGGCTTTTTAGTCTTTGGCATTGCTGGGATTTGAATTAAGGAACTTATACTGGTCAGGCTGAGCCGTTGCCTCTGTCCCATGTTTTTACTTAGTATGGCTTCACATTTAGTTAGCCTCACGTTGTGATAAAATCAAGCATGGCTGGGTTATCTCTGTGTGCACCCAGCCCCCAACATCTTTTATTATTATATGGTTTCCTCGATTTTCTGCTGTTCTCTCGGCTGGAATTTTGTTATTCACAGGACCATAGGACTCCAAGATTAATCCTCTAGACTTTGTATCTCTTTCTGATCTTCCATGATTTGATCTTAAAATTATTTTCACTTCCTTTACATTTTGTACATCTTAATTATTTAAGTGTCTCTTCTGTATTTAACTGTGCCAAAGTATTTTTCTCACCAAACATTACTCTCTTTTTTTTTTTTTGAGTGTTGTTCTATTTTCCTTTCTTGGATACCATGCTATTCTTTACTTTTCTGAAGATCTTACAGATCTTATTCTGTTCTCTACTGGTGCTTTATCCTTCAAGTCGCTTTTTATCCTTCTTATTTTTCTCTCTGCTTTTCATCTTAGAGGCTTTACTCAAATAGCTTGTAATCTTGACAGTCTGCTCATAATTCAAGTGTTAGGCCCTCGGAATTTGACCTGGTGAGTAGATAGCTTTTTATGTCTTGACTGTCATTTTAATGTGATTTCTAAACCCAACGGTAATAAAAGTCTGTATTCAATATGTCTTGACTAGCCACATATCTAACCACACATCTTCTTTTATTAATATAGTTAAGGTGTTGGGCACCTCTGGGGTTTTGCCATAGCAAAGGGGAAAGAAACCAAAAACAACCCAGAAGGAACTTAAAGAATTCAAATTCTTGCCTAGTTATTTCTTCAAGATAAAGCCTAAAAACAAATTTGGAAAGCATGCAGATTTTAGCTCTTGATACGTAGTTTCTGACTGCCTGTCGGCAGTTATTTGTCATTCCATCCATACTTTTGCTGTTAGTGTATATTCATGAACTTGTGTAATTTTAAATTTTTATTTTTTGCCAGTCCTGGGCCTTGAAATCAGGGCCTGGGCACTGTGTCTGAGCTTTTGTGCTCCAGGCTAGAGCTCTACCTCTTGAGCCACAGCTCCACTTCCAGTTTTGTTTTTTGTTTCTTGTTTTGAGTGGTTAATAGGGGGTAAGAGTATTACAGACTTTCCTGACCAGGGTTGGCTTCAAACCGAGATCTCAGATCTCAGCCTCCTAAATAGCTAGGTACCTGCCACTAGCGCCCGGCTATTTTTCTGATTTTAAAGCAAAAACACTTTGGATCATACTGTAGAAACTGCCCCAATTCCTATGGATATTACTCCTCAGCTATACAAATACCAGTCAACAGGAACATGTTTGATCCCTTCGAGCTGTGAGGTGCAAGCACACTTAGGGCACAGGACTTGAGGAATACAGACCGAGCAGATTTTACATTGAACATGTGAACAGTGGAGGGAAGGGCTGACGGTGTCCCGGCACGGGGGTACTTACGTCGTGCAAGTTATCCAGGAGTTTTGTGAGCTGGTAGAAGCGCTGGGAGCTGGGCACCATGCCTTTCTGCCTCAAGCCGATGGCCTTGATCAGCTCCCGGATGTAGCTGGACCTCATTTCTTCAAACTGGCTCTGACTCCTCAGGCCTTCCAAAGGAACTGCAGCAAGGCAATTGCGAGCCACAGTGGTGTTAGACGTTTACCACACAGCAGGCTCAGCTAGATCTTGGGTTTCTCTAGGACATTTTACCCTTGTCCTGCGAAGCTCAGTGACTGGGCATTAGATGATTATTCCCCAGAAGTTTATCACTTTTTTTGTGTGTGATTGCATTCTAAGTTTCTTCATTCCATTTTGTGATGCCCTCTTGCTCATATGGAAAGAAAGCTATGGGCTATTTAAATATCTCATATCCACCCACTTAGGTTTAAAAAAAAATACTTGTTTTTAATCTGAGCGATGTGGGGTGGAAGACCTTTGTGTTTCTGATATATGAAAAACTTTCCGCTTCTAGTCCTTGTGGTTCTCATGTCTGAGTCACAATTTACGGATGCGCTCAACGGCGCCTGACGTGAGAGGGCACCGGCGGTGGCGGGTGCTCGTGGTTGGTTTTCATGAGGATGTTGCTAAGCCAGATCAGGGCGTGAGCGAATGGCTCAGGTTCTCTCCTCTGAAATCCCCGAGCTGGTCCTCAGGTCTTAGGCACAACGCCTCACCCTGGACCTTCACCACAGAATCCCTCCCACCTTTGTTTTTCTCCCAAACCTTCTAGTTCCTTCTGTTGCCCCTTCTCCTTTTCTCCAGTAACCTTACTGCCCCATCCCTGACTTCCTTGCTTCACTTCTTAATTTGCTGCACTTCTTAAAAAACAGAAAAGCAAAAAACCTGCAACCTTCTGTGAACTTCCTCTGCAGTGATACCAGGTGGTGGACAGCAAAGTCACAAAGCTGCTGGATTTATGACCTTGACCCTTAGCAGTATTTCTGTAATGAAGTGCACTTAGTTTAAAGGCAACAATATGTGCCTAGCAAAGAGAAATACACTAAAAAAAACTTTTAAGCCTATGTATTATATGCACCCTAATGCATCCTGAATTCCACTCTTCTTGCTAAGAAAGGCTACTCATACACATGAAAGAAAACCTAAGCTTTGGGCTTTGAATTTTTAATTACTGAGATCCAGAATGGCAACAGGAAATGTTTGCTCATTTTAAAACAATTCCAGGTGTAGTGGCACACACCTTTAATCTCATCACTCAAGAGGCTGAAGCAGTAGGATCACAAGTTTCAGGTCTGCCTGGGCTACAGAGTGATAACCTGTCTTTAAAGCAAAAATGAGCATGATTTCCCTGTTTGTACGTCTGCACGCATGTGCATGTACCTCTGATCTCTTCCCTCAATTATCTCTTCAAAACAAGGACACCTCCTTTAGGTTTCCAAACAATGCCCACATTTCCCTCACTGATAAACATGAACAATAACTTTTCCCTGAACTTTTCTTAACACTTTCTTAATCAAACCCTTGCCCAAGATTTTGGTGTCACTTTGGAGGGATTAGCGGTAAGAAGCTGTGTTCAACCTGCCACCTCTTCCTGGAGCTCTGTGTGATCGTTCTTATCAACAAATAGGGAGCTGAACTTGGTAGTTACCTATTTCTCCTTTGCCAGCTTCCCGCCGTACGTACACTTACCCTTTGGGATGGGGAAAGAACCTGTTTCGCCTTGACTCACAGGGATTTGCGGGAAGGGTTGCTGGAGCAGTTCCCAGTGCTCCCTTTTACTCTTGTCATCTTTCCAGAAGGATCTCACGTGTATGCCCCGCCTCCTCCCGTGTGTTCTCCACGCGTGGCGGGGGTGACAGTGTGTGTCACCATGCGCAGCCTGGGGTTGGCTGGGATGGGGTCTGAGAGCTGGTTTTGGTGCTAGCTTTGAGTTGCCTTCCTCACCTCTCCCCTCCCGCCCCGCGTCTAGAGCGGGTCCCCCATCCCCTCCCGCCCAGCGTCGAGGGTCCTGTCCGTTTCCGCGTCACGCATGCTCGCTCACTTGTGTTCAGCAGCAGCAGCACTTTCATGCAGAGGAACTCCTCGTGGCTGACCTGCAGCTTGACGAACTCCTGGGGGATCTGCCACATGGTGAGGCACAGGGAATAGAGCGACGACTCCTTCATGCGCTGCCTTGCCGCGCGCGCGCACGCGGGGGAGAAAGCCACAGGAAACCACGTCTCAGCCAACTGAGAGACTGCTCAGCACTGCTCGGGCGGCTGAGGGGTCTACTGTCATTAGGAGGCAAGCTCAGCGTTCGGGATTTTGGGTCTCTTTCATGGATTCCACTGTGTGGCACTAATGATGGAGGCCACGGATTGTGAAAGTTAGAGGAGCAGAGGCGCAGGAGGTGAGGGGAGGGGAAGATAGAGGCGCAGGAGGGGAGGGGAGGGGAAGATGGAGGCGCAGGAGGGGAGGGGAGGGGAAGATAGAGTTGCAGGAGGTGACAGTGGAGAGGAAGGACGTACTTATTCACTCATGTGTCCCTGGCAACACACGTGCACGGATGTGTGTAACTGTGTGTGCACGCATCTGCACAGGCCCGCGGGCGAACGGCTTCCGTTGCCCTGCAGAGGGAGGAGGTTCCGGCGGCATGCAAGAGCAGAGGACAAGCAAGCCTCAAGTGACCCGCAAGGCTCTGGCGCTGGAGGAGCGTGGCCTCGGGGTGGTGGCCTCCGGGTGGCGGCCTCTGGGCAGCCTCTGGGCAGCTAGGATTCTTGAAACATTTTGAAAGTAAGCCACCGGTGTGGTTTTCCTGCAGGAGGGTATTCAGTGCTTTTGCTTTTTTTTTTTTTTGGGGGGTCCGGTTGTGGGGCCTGAACTCTGGGCCTGGGCGCTGTCCCTCAGCTCTTCAGTTCAAGGCTAGCGCTCTACCACTTGAGCCATAGCGCCACTTCCGGCTTTTTTCTTTTTGCTTATGTGGTGCTGAGGAATCGAACCCAGGGCCTCAGGCATGCAAGGCACGCGCTCTACCACTGAGCCATCTTCCCAGCCCCTGCTTTTGCTTTTTGAAGGTAAGTCAATACTTCAAGCAAAGCCACCTCTAATTTATTTCATTATTCCATTAATACCAACGCCTAAAACTAAATTTGGTAAAGAAAGCATTTAATTTTGTGTTAAGGGTGTTGAGACATTTTTTTTTTCCTGTGCCAAACCTGGGGCTTGATCTCAGGACCTGAGCTTGAACTCTGCCCCGGAGCTTTTTTGGCTCAAAGCTAGTGGTCTACCAGTTGAGCCACAGCTCTACTTTTTGGCTTATTTTTGATGGTTAATTAGAGATAGAGCCTCAGACTTTCCTGCCCAGGCTTCAAACTGTGCTCCTCAGATCTCAGCCTCCTGAGCAGCTGGGATGACAGGCGTGAGCCACCAGCACCCACTTACAGTGTATATCTTGATACGTTTTTGAAGAATGAGAGATCTCAGACCACTTCCGACAACAATGCACATTAGAAGGAGAGGAACAGCTATGGTCCCAGATTCCTGGGGAGGCTCTGGGTGGAGAGTGAGGCGCGTGAAGATGGCAGGTCATTCTGAGGAGCCTTTGGAAAGTTCCACCACTAAGGATGCCCAGCGTGCAAGTGCTGACCACCGACTGGAGGGAGCCCCAGCACGCCCCGGTGCTGCTAGTGAGCCCGGGCACACACACACACCCCCCCCCCCGTGCTGCTAGTGAGCCCCGGCACGCCCCCCCCCGTGCTGCTAGTGAGCCCTGGCACGCCCCCCCCGTGCTGCTAGTGAGCCCCGGCACACCCCCGTGCTGCTAGTGAGCCCTGGTACGCCCCCCCCCCGTGCTGCTAGTGAGCCCTGGCACGCCCCCCCCCCGTGCTGCTAGTGAGCCCCAGCACGCCCCCCCAGTGCTGCTAGTGAGCCCCGGCACACCCCCGTGCTGCTAGTGAGCCCCGGCACACACACCCCCCGTGCTGCTAGTGAGCCCGGGCACACCCCCCCCCCCCCGTGCTGCTAGTGAGCCCTGGCACGCCCCCCCCCCATGCTGCTAGTGAGCCCCCGCACACCCCCCAGTACTGCCAGCGTGAGGCCCGGAGGAGCCCCACAAGGCACTACTCACTCATTCAGGATCAGGTCCGGCGCGAAGTAGAGCATCTGCCCGCTGACGTGCTTGTAGGACCGCCAGCCCAGCCCAAACACCATGAGGCTCATCCACGAGTACTGGATCAGCGTGATCTGGTCGTCAATGTGCAAGTTTCGAAAACCTGCGGGATCACTGAAGGATTAATGCAGGCCGTGCACCCATCGTGACAGTCCCTTGTTCGCCCACACGGCTGGGACTCGGTGGTGGCAGCTGTAAGAAAGGCCGTGTTTGCTCTCCCCAGAATCAGGAGACGTTCATAAGCAGGGCGGCCCCACCGCGGAGCCCAGCTGTCCCTGGGAAATGTGTGGTGACGCCGCTGCCCCTCCCCCCTCCCTCATGCAACACCCCTTCACGGAGACCTGCGCTGTGCACCGGGGGCAGGAAGATGAATACGATCCAAGCACTGCCCTCAACAAACACGCAACCAATCTGCGGAAGAGACGCGCGCACAATGACCAGAAGACGGGCACGGGGAGCTGGAAGGTAACCGCTTTTTAGTTGTTCAGACAGGTTTCAGTGCTGTTGCCCAACAGTGGCCTCAGGCCGCAGGCTCCACTGGGATGACGGGCAGGCACCTCCATCCTGGCCTTGTGGGTTGCCGTGGGGTCTGGTTAACGTTTTGCCTGTGGTGACCTTGAACTGCAATCCTCCTAATCTTGGCCTCCCAAGTAGCTGAGATTATAAGCATGAGCTACTGTACCAGGCCTACTTTTGCTCACTCTTATGTCCTTCAAAAGAAAGTATTTTACAGTATTTAAGTGTCTGACACAATTTATTTAGTGTTTTTTTCACGTTGCCTTTTAATCTCTTACTAGTTTGAAAAATTTTAATTTAATTATTCTTTATTTGAAAATAGACTTTATATTTACATTCACTTTGTACTCTGTCTTTTTTCTTTTCAGGTTTTTGTTTGTTTTGTCAGGCCCACGGTTTAAACTCAGGGCCTGGGTGCTGTCCCTGAACTTCTTTTGCTCAAGGTTAATACTCTACCTCTTGAGCCACAGTGCCACATCTAGCATTTCCTGAGTAGTTTATTGGAGATAAGAGGCTCATGGGTTTTTCTGCCCAGGCTGGCTTTGAGTCATGATCCTCAGATCTCAGCCTCCTGACTCCCTAGGAGTGCAGCCATGAGTCACCAGTGCTTTTCTGTTTTCTCATTCTAGGACTGTTAATGACATGAAACAGAGGAATGCTTGTAACATAAAGGACAGTTTTTAACATATAAAAAACAGTTACCAATATTGCTAACAGGAAGTATATTTCTAGGCTGGGAAGGTGGCTTAGTGGTAGTGCTTGCCTAGCAAACATGAAGCCCTGGGTCCGATTCCTCAGTACCAAATACACAGAAAAAAAAACAGTAGTACCACTGTGGCTCAAGTGGTAGAGCTCTAGCCTTGAGCAAAAGAAACTCAGGGACAGTGCCCAGGCCCTGAGTGCAAGCCCTAGGACTGGCAACACACACACACACACACGCACACGCACACGTGCGTGCGTGCGCACGCACACACACACACACACAGAAGTCTGTCTCCATCTGACAGACAAAACTCAGAAAATCCCTCTCCTTAGCTCCTGGCGGCCTTCCCTGTGATAAACAGCTGCGCGGTGTCCCGTGGCTTCCACACCTGCGCTCAAGTGCAGTGTCCATCGCATCCCGTTATTTTATACTTAAAGAAGGAACACTGAGGACAGATTCCCATGGTGATAATCAGGGGAATTCAGAGTATGTGAGAAGAAAAAGGAGCACCTTCACACAGAGATGCAGCAGATGGCCATGAATCGTACTTAGTGACTTTTATCTGAAGTGATTTGACCTGATAATTCCAGAAAGAAAACTTTGGTGAGAAGCTGCCTGGTTCTCAATGCTTTTCAAAAGTGTAAAGAACATACAGGAGAGGAGATTCACTGTGAGCTGCGCTTGCTTCAGGGGTGGGGGTAAAGAATGCAGCATGGGGCCCTGCGGGTGCTCACGCCTGTAATCCCAGCTACTCAGGAGGCTGAGATCTGAGGATCGCAGTTCAAAGCCAGCCCGGGCAGGAAAGTCTGGGAGACTCTTATCTCCAACTAACCACCAGAAAACCAGAAGTGGCACTTTGGCTCAAGTGGTAGAGAGCTAGCCTAGAACAAAAAAACTCAGGGACAGTGTCCAGGCCTTGAATTCAAGCCTCATGACAGACCAAAAGAAATATATATATATATATATATATATATACACACACACTCATACATGCTCCCCCAAAAACAAAATGTCAGAGAGTATAAACAAGGGCAGAGCCTCATATATAACACTGTCTATATGTATTATATAAATAGATGATATATGAAATCAGCAGCTTCTGACATAATGTTGGGATCTCACACAAGCATGGATCTTGAAGGCTGTAGAAAGTTCTGATACCTGGCTAGGAAGTTGGCTCAGTGGTAGAGTGCTTGTCTTGCATGCATGAGGCCCTGGGTTCAATTCCTCAGTGCCACATAATCAGAAAAAGCCAAAAGTGGCACTGTGGCTCAAGTGGTAGAGTGCTAGCCTTGAGCTGAAGAGCTGAGGGACAGCGCCCAGGCCCCACGACCGGACCCAAAAAAAAAAAAAAAGAAAAGAAAAGTTCTGATACCATTCTGTGGTCACCAACATACGTTTACTAACAGGGATAGGATGCTTTAATGACCTAAGACAACAGCCCTTATAATAGAAACTTCTCTATCAGTCCTGTACTTAAAAATTGCTTGTTTTTTGTCTTTTGGACAGGTCTCATTATGTAGCCCAGGCTGGCCTTGAACCCATGAGCCTCCTGCCTCCATCTTCTCCAGCGTGCTGGGAGTCCAAGTGTCCACTACCCTGCCTGTGCTAAGTCGGCTCTCAGCACCCAGTGACGGGCGTGACGCCGGGCGTACAGATAACAGAGACGCCCGTAGACAGTGAGGTGGACAGAAAGCAGAGCACAGCACAGCCTGGTCCGGCTGACAAGTGCAGCAGAGACGTGGAAGGACCAGGGAAGGTTCTGGAAGACCATCCAGAGTGAGTAGGGGAAGACGCTGGGAATGAGGGGGCTCCGGCAGGGGAAGCAGCATGGGGGGAGGCACGTGGGGGGAGCTGTGGGGAGCCCCACAGAGGTGGGGGGGCACATAGAGGCGTGGGGGGAGGGCGCGGGGGGCACAGAGGCGTGGGGGGGAGCTGTGTGGGGCCCACAGAGGCATGGGGGGAGCTGTGTGGGGCCCACAGAGGCGTGGGGGGGAGCTGTGGGGGACCCCACAGAGGTGGGGGGGAGGGCGCGGGGGGGCCCCACAGAGGCGTGGGGGGAGGGTACAGGGGGGGCACACAGAGGCGTGGGGGGAGGGCGCGGGGGGGCACACAGAGGCGTGGGGGGAGGGCGTGGGGGGCCACAGAGGCGTGGGGGGAGGGCGTGGGGGGCCACAGAGGCGTGGGGGAGGGCATGGGGGGCACACAGAGGCGTGGGGGGAGGGCGTGGGGGGCCACAGAGGCGTGGGGGGAGGGCACGGGGGGCACAGAGGCGTGGGGGGAGGGCGTGGGGGACACACAGAGGCGTGGGGGGAGGGCGCGGGGGGGCCACAGAGGCGTGGGGGGAGGGCACGGGGGGGCACACAGAGGCGTGGGGGGAGGGTGCAGGGGGGGGCACACAGAGGCGTGGGGGGAGGGTACGGGGGGGCACACAGAGGCGTGGGGGGAGGGCGCGGGGGGGACACACAGAGGCGTGGGGGGAGGGTACGGGGGGGCACACAGAGGCGTGGGAGGAAGGCGCGGGGGCCACAGGTGTGGGGGGGAGGGCATGGGGGCCCCACAGAAGCGTGGGGGGAGGGCGCGGGGGGGCACAGAGGCGTGGGGGGAGGGCGCGGGGGGGCACAGAGGCGTGGGGGGAGGGCATGGGGGGCACAGAGGCATGGGGGGAGGGCGCGGGGGGGCACAGAGGCGTGGGGGGAGGGCATGGGGGCACACAGAGGCGTGGGGGGAGGGCACGGGGGGCACAGAGGCGTGGGGGGGCGTGGGGGGAGGGCGCGGGGGGGCACAGAGGCGTGGGGGGAGGGCATGGGGGGCACAGAGGCGTGGGGGGAGGGCGCGGGGGGGCACAGAGGCGTGGGGGGAGGGCACGGGGGGCACACAGAGGCGTGGGGGGAGGGCATGGGGGGCACACAGAGGCGTGGGGGGAGGGCACGGGGGGCACAGAGGCGTGGGGGGGAGGGCACGGGGGGCCCACAGAGGCGTGGGGGGGAGGGCGCGGGGGGCCCACAGAGGCGTGGGGGGAGGGCGCGGGGGGGCCACAGAGGCGTGGGGGGAGGGCGCGGGGGGCCCACAGAGGCGTGGGGGGAGGGCGCGGGGGGGCCACAGAGGCGTGGGGGGGAGGGCACGGGGGGCCCACAGAGGCGTGGGGGGGAGGTCACGGGGGGCCCACAGAGGCATGGGGGGAGGGCGCAGGGGGGGCACAGAGGCATGGGGGGAGGGCGCAGGGGGGCACAGAGGCGTGGGGGGAGGGCATGGGGGGCACAGAGGCGTGGGGGGAGGGCATGGGGGGCACAGAGGCGTGTGGGGAGGGCGCGGGGGGGCACAGAGGCGTGGGGGGAGGGCGCAGGGGGGCACAGAGGCGTGGGGGGAGGGCGCGGGGGGACACAGAGGCGTGGGGGGGGCGTGGGGGGAGGGCGGGGGGGGCACAGAGGCGTGGGGGGGCGTGGAGGGAGGGCGGGGGGGCACAGGGCATCCTGCACAGGCAGCCACTGGGCGCTGAGGCACAGAGGCAGAGACCCCAGCTCTCACACCGAGCAGTCTCACCCGACTTCATCAGCCAACGACAGAACAGTTCTCTGTGTGCAGACACGATTCCCAGATGCCAGACACACTGCGTCTGACACGTCCACCCAGGAGCCCGGCCTCGCGTCTGACACATCCACGCCAGGGCCCCTGGCCTCGCACCTGACACGTCCACCCAGGAGCCCGGCCTCGCGGCTGACACGTCCACCCAGGAGCCCGGCCTCGCGGCTGACACGTCCACCCAGGAGCCCGGCCTCGCGGCTGACACGTCCACCCAGGAGCCCGGCCTCGCGGCTGACACGTCCACCCAGGAGCCCGGCCTCGTGGCTGACACGTCCACCCAGGAGCCCGGCCTCGGGCGTGGCACTCTCCCCGCATGGTGCACACTGCTGGCGTCTAATGGCGGGGCTGGCTGGCTCAGGGCGCAGGGGCTGTGGCTGTGGTTCACGTCAGCCGACAGGGTTTGGGGTAGCTAATGACACATGTTCCTCCCGGGCCAGAATTGCCACTGGAGCTCCCGGACCCTGGCGTCAGTGACTCATGCAGTCTGAGGAAGAAGCACGGCTCCACCGGAGCTCAGGCCACGCCGCCCGTGGCAACGCCACGGGAGCTCGGGCCACACCGCCCGTGGGATGCCACGGGAGCTCGGGCCACGGGAACTCAGGCCATGCCGCCCGTGTGACGCCACGGGAGCTCAGGCCACGCCGCCCGTGGTGACGCCACGGGAGCTCAGGCCACACCGCCCGTGGTGACGCCACGGGAGCTCAGGCCACGCCGCCCGTGTGACGCCACGGGAGCTCAGGCCACGCCGCCCGTGGTGACGCCACGGGAGCTCAGGCCACGCCACCCGTGGTGACGTCGCCAAAGCTCAGGCCACGCCGCCCGTGTGACGCCACGGGAGCTCAGGCCACGCCGCCCGTGTGACGCCACGGGAGCTCAGGCCATGCCGCCCGTGGGACGCCACGGGAGCTCAGGCCACGCCGCCCGTGGGACGCCACGGGAGCTCAGGCCACGCCACCCGTGGGACGCCACGGGAGCTCAGGCCACGCCGGCCGTGGCAACGCCACGGGAGCTCGGGCCACGCCACCCGTGGTGACGCCACGGGAGCTCAGGCCACGCCGCCCGTGGTGATGCCACGGGAGCTCAGGCCACACCACCTGTGTGACACCACGGGAGCTCAGGCCACGCCGCCCGTGGGACGCCACGGGAGCTCAGGCCACGCCACCCGTGGGACGCCACGGGAGCTCAGGCCACGCTGGCCGTGGCAACGCCACGGGAGCTCGGGCCACGCCACCCGTGGTGACGCCACGGGAGCTCAGGCCACGCCGCCCGTGGTGATGCCACGGGAGCTCAGGCCACACCACCTGTGTGACACCACGGGAGCTCGGGCCACGCCGCCCGTGGGACGCCACGGGAGCTCAGGCCACACCACCTGTGTGACACCACGGGAGCTCGGGCCACGCCGCCCGTGATGACACCACGGGAGCTCAGGCCACACCACCTGTGTGACACCACGGGAGCTCGGGCCACGCCGCCCGTGGTGACGCCACGGGAGCTCAGGCCACACCACCTGTGGGCAATGCCACACTTCCCTGTTCTACTGAATGGATGCGCCCCGTGTGCACCCATGTTGTTCTGTAAGGCTACACATAAATTACATTTTGCAACATAAAAAAAAAGTTGCCACCCAAATTCAATTTAAAAATTCTCTTTCTTTCTTAAGGTTACATGAGAGTCAAAAAAAATCTGGACTTATAACTGTGCTTAAAAGCTGAGCTTGGATGCACAGTGAATAAATTACCTTCTTAATTGCATATTGTCTACTCTTAAGCAAGAAAGAACCTCCAAAATGCAAACAAAAGGGATGGGACCAAAATCAACAAAGAAATCACTATTTCTAAATAAGAGAAAGCCTAGAAAATTAAAAACACATTTTTTAAATAGCATAATTTATCAATGCTGTTATGACATTTTGCTTAGTAAAGGTCTATCAAATTCAATAACCCCTCACAGCAAGTTTTAAATATTCAGAACTTCTCTAATAGAAAATTACCTGTCTAAGGTCTTTTAACTAGAATAAAGATGATAAGGACTGGGCATTTTGGATTTTTCTGTAAAATTACTTCATCTCCATTAGAATACTGGATTTCATTAACTTTGCGCAATGCTTATTTTTTTTAAAAAAGATTCAACAAGCAGGAATCTATTTTTCTGTTTTGTATAACCTTGAATGTTCAATTAAATTATAATTCATCTATTATATTTCAAACCTTTCAAGGAGAATGAATAATAACCAAGAAATATATTAAGGCAAATTGGACAGGAATTCTTTTTATAAAAAAAAATCATTGAATTTACTTGGTGACCAAAAAGACATAATACATTAATTTTTGATCAGATATTAGAAAAATAAATTGGTCTCCAGAAAGTATAAGGATATTACGGATGCAAAGAGAATGTGATTGTTTTGGAGAAAATACAAGGGGGGGGGAGGGGTGTATTTCTAAGGAGGAGCTCAATGCCCCTCCCTCACTGTCCTGAGGTGTGACCGGGAGAGTGTCATCCTGTAACTCCTCAACCACCTCACGCTCCGAGAGCCGCGCCCAGGGAAGCCAGCGCAGCACCCTTCCCTCTCCTCTCCCCCCCCCCCCCCCAGACGAGAGAACCGCGCCCCTGGCGATCACAGGCCAAGTTCTGGTTGCTGGGAGTAAATCATAGGAAATAATGATCCAGAGGTTCACTTGGCCACCTCCAGATGACTTTCTTAGGCTTAGGGATTCTGGTTCTTCACTGACCTTGGAAGCCTCACTGTGCTCTGAGTGCAGTTAGGGTCTGTCAGGTGAGAGGGTTTTATTTCACACCGCACGGGACCACCACCACGGGAGGGCACTCTCAACCACAGTCTGTCCACCTCCGGGCTCGTTACCTGGCAGGGACTTGGACCACTTGACCACGGACAGCAGCTGCCTCTCGCCCAGCTGGTTCAGGCTGGTCAGCAGGGAGCTGGAGGTATCCGGCTTTGTGTTGTCGTGTCCCGCGTAGACCACCTCGGGCTCGATGCTCATGAGCAGGTTGATGAGGGACGGCATCAGCTGCACCTCCTGGCTTGGTGAGAAGGTGATCCTCTGGCCCAGGGCCGGGCCTTCGCTCGGGAGGCCCACGGACTGAGGGAGCGCCACGCCGTCCAGCGCACGGACCACCCGGACCTTATTGAACTTTTTGAACTTACGACCTAGAGAAGAAAAGGAGAGAAAGAACACGGAAGGCCAGGTGAGTGCCGAACACCTCCCCGTGTGCCGTTTTTGTTAAGCCTCAAGATCATAGCATTATAGATGTTAGCGTCACACCAAGGACGCGAGATAAATCCCGAATGGTAGCCTTGGGCTTGGATGAGAAATAACAGCGCTGGGTGTGAGCGGGGTCACGAGGCTCTGCGGGAAGAGACAGCGCCCGAAACCAGAGCTCCGCACCCACTGCACAGACAAGATCGCCTCCCAGAGCTAGCACGGTGGCCTCCTGGTGACAATCGCGGAGTCCCGAATTACGCTGCATTAAGAATATGCATAGGTATGAAACGGTATAACATCTTTTTTTTTTTTTTTTTTTGCAGTCTCGCGAGTTCCTAGATTCCGTGAAACCGGTCTTTGAATCACAATAAGGACAAAAGCAAGTCGTCGTCTTGTGGTGGGGGAGAGACGGAGGCTGCAGCCCGTGGTCCGTGCTGGGGGACATTTCTGGGATTTCTCTTCCCATGAATTCTCGCGTTAGGAAGGAAATGGCTTGGAGCCGCTGAGTGGAATTTGCCTTTTGAGGATGGAGGCAGGAGACCAGGGCTCTCCCCCGTGGGCTCCTCACAGCCGCTGTTCACAGGGTGCACAGCTGGGCAGGAAGGTCACCTGGGTTTCAGTCGCGTGGTGGTGCGTCAGGAATGAGCGGCCGGTCCACTGGAAGGAGGCCTGCTGACGCTGACCGTGGTCTCGCCGAGGAGGTCACCTGACCGCGGGAGGCCCCATCTGGCTGGCAGCTTCCAGTTCACTCCACACGAGCGTTCGTGAAAACACCTCTGAGCTTGTTAGATGGTTGGCAGCAGAGCATGGATCCTGGGCCTTTAGACGAGATGTGGACTGTCCACTTTACTCAGTTACCAGCAAAGACTGGCAGAAGGCCAGCGGGCACAAGTCTTGCTGCTCTTCCCCGTTCATTTACCTGCTGTGTCTGTGATCACGACGATTTCCGAGCTCGGGCAGTGCTGTGCCGCTGCAGGGTGGCGCCTGCTGCGCAGTCAGACACACGGAGACCACACCCGTGCTATACTGACGCAGAGCAGAGCCAGAACGCAGAGCAAAGGGGACAACTTCCAGGTGGATAAAAGAAGAGGACACAGGCTCCGGTGCGGAGATCAAGTGGGCTCCGGGGGAAGGGATGGGAAGAAGAGCGATGAACGTGCGATGCGCTGCTGTGCTCCGGAGGCTGCGCACGCGCACAGGACCGCCCGTCAGCCTCGTCCTGAGCCGTGATGGCTGTCGGGGAGAGGATGAGCAGTGAGGAGCTGCCCCACCCTGGGACGGCTGGAGGCTGTGGACGCGAGGCCTGGCCTGCCTTCCCCTCAGACGTCCCCGGCGGAGGCTAAGGCAGAGCTGCGTTGTCATTCAGCACCCCCAAACCCAAAAGCTGCCTCCAACCTAGTCCCCATCACCAGGGCGACATCAGCCTTCGCTGGGCTCTGACCCTCACTCTCCTAATAACCCAATTTCCTGCCGCCTTCTGCCCCTGTCAGGTCTGCTCATAAACCTAGGCTTCCTGAGTCTCTGGGGAAAAGAGGGAGACACATGGCAAAAGCAAAACCGAAGCAGGAAGCCATTTGGAACCAGGTCTCGTAGGTCTTATTTTACCAAAGCAACCCTTGGAAAGGAACCTTCGCATCTCCATCGGGAAGGGGAGGTCCAGGGGGGTCCTGGCCACGCCCGGGCTCCCACGGTGAGAGGGTGTGGGGTGCGGAGGTCGGTCCGGGCTACATTTACTCTCATCGCTCAATCCTTCCTTCACGCCCCAGCCACTCACTCCCCAGAGCCCAGCGTGGCCAGCAGCCTGCTGCCGGCAGAGCGCGGCCTCCCTGAGGCTGCTGGGACGGAAGAGGGAGACGCTCTTCCTGAGAGCTCACCCCAGCCCACGGAAGTGGGAGGGACTGAAGGAATGCGGGGGGGGGGGGGTCGGGGCCCCCAGTGCTGCCCCGTCCGCGGCTGGCATTTTGAACTCTAAAGACTACTTCCTCTTTGGGATCCAATCAGGCAATGTCTAATCAGAGGACGAGTCTGCACTCCGGGGGAATTACTGTTAAGAATTTTGAAAAAACAAAACAAAACATAGTATTTAAAAGATTCTTTCCTGAAAGGGCTAAAGGGTGATAGTCTAATAGTCTTACCAAGGCTGCAATCCACTGCCTACTGTGACTGTTAGTTTTGTTCTTAAAAAAAAAAATCAGCGTCTCTGTTGGAGGTGCGGGGCGTCTTCCTCCCGTCGGCGCTCAGAGGCAGCGGCAGAGAGCCAGGCCACCCCTTTTCACCCATTGACTACCTCCCCAAATTAAAATTTGGGGACGCATTTCTTTAGGCTGATTTTATCCGGTGATATTTGCTTTGGAGATCAAGCCTACGATTTATTACTCCATTATCTAGCATCGGGTCACAATTTTCGATAAGTCATTTGACTGTGATGTTATTACAGTGCAGTCAGCCATAACGGTCTCTCTGCCTCCCCCGTCCTTACATTCTGGAGCTTGGACTCGGGGCCTTGTACTCTCTCTGGACTTTCACTCAAGGTTTGTGCTCCGTCACTGCAGCCACACCTCCACTTCCAGCTTTTTAATGGTTAACTGGAGACAAGAATCTCTTTTCTGCTTGGTCTGCCACTGAATCCTGATCCTCAGATCTCAGGGTCCTGAGTCGCTAGATTCACAAGCCTGAGTGACCAGTGCTCAGCTATATTCCGTCTCCTACTTAACATCCTATGAACTATGAACCGCAAAGACCCACGTATCTTCAGTTGTGTCTGATCACAGTTCGAGTACGGGGAGGACTGTTTTCTGCTATGTCCGACACCTCATGCAATGTTCAGCTAAGGTCCGGGAGGAAAAAGAGACTAAAGCTAGAGATGTTCGGGTTAGTAACGAGGCACACGGATGTAACGTCCGTGGGGTCTGCGGGATGGAGGCTTGAGGAAAGTGCGAGGCGTCTCCGTGTCACTGGGCGGGCGGTGAGGCTCGATCCCCTGCTGTGCTGACTCGTCGTGGAGATGGCTCTGCTGGCTCAGTACCAAAGCCTGACTTCCTGCATGCCGCCACTCTCCTCAGAACCTGTCTATGCTCCCACCTCTGCCCCAGCCACCATCCCAGCGAGCGCCAGCGAACGCCGGCCAGAGAGCGCGTGCTCTCTGCCCACGCGCCCTCGAGTGGCTGCAGCACGTCCCCACCGCGGGCCGAGAGCCGCTGGGTCAGTCCTCAGGCCCCCAGCCCTGCGGCCGCCCTCCCGTGACCCTGCACGCTCCCACGCCTCTGCCCCGTGTGGCCACTCGGCCTCCATGTCTGCTCTTTATCGTCACCGTCACACGGAGTGCCCAGATTCGGCCAGGGACCACACAGTCCCCCTCTGGCCCAATCTAGCTTGTCTCCCCTCTGGGATGACCACCATTCACAGCTCCAGCCGCCCATCCAGAGCTCCAGACCTGTGATGGCGGCTCGGCCTCCCATGGGCCACGGGCCACCTGACCGACCAGAGCGCGGCGCGGAGCAGTGGCTCAGCGGCGGCCTGACCGACCACCATCCGTCCAGAGCGCGGCGCGGAGCAGCGGCCCAGCGGCGGCCTCCCGCATGGCCATCTGACCCCGTCCGGCAGCGCCCGTGCGCGCCGTCCTCTCTCTCGGGCGGTTCTGTCTCCGCAGCAGAGCGAGCCTGGGCAAGCCTCCTCCTCAGCGCGTCCAGGACCACTGAGCTCAGGATGAGCTCCAGGCTCTATGGGGTCATCTGGGCCGTCCCCCCGCAACCTCCTTGCTGTCCCCCACGGCACCCGCACAGACGCGCCGCTGTGCTCAGCCTGGCAGCGCCCCGCCAAGTGACATTACTTCACATGTGCACCTCTCCCCGCCCGGCCCTCAGCAAACCGTACGGAAAGCAGAATCTCCTGTGCATGGACAATGCCAGACCTCCTTCTCAGGGTGTGGAGCAAATCAGTTCTCCTACACGGAACTGTGTCCTTGAAGGCTATAAAGAAACCCACAGGAAGTCTTGGGGGAGATGTGGTCTGAGGGGGGAGTTACAGTCTGGGGGAGGTGCAGTCTGAGGGGGGAGGCGCAGTCTGGGGGCAGGTGCAGTCTGGGGGGAGGCACAGTCTGGGGGCAGGTACAGTCTGAGGGGGGAGGTGCAGCCTGGGGGAGGAGGCACAGTCTGAGGGGGGAGGTGCAGTCTGAGGGGGGAGGTGCAGTCTGAGGGGGGAGGTGCAGTCTCAGGGGGAGGTGCAGTCTGAGGGGGTAGGTGCAGTCTGGGGGAGGTGCAGTCTGAGGGGGGAGGCGCAGTCTGAGGGGGAGGTGCAGTCTGAGGGGGAGGTGCAGTCTGAGGGGGGAGGCGCAGTGTGGGGGAAGATGCAGTCTAAGGGGGGAGGTGCAGTCTGAGGGGGGAGGCACAGTCTGGTGGGAGGCGCAGTCTGAGGGGGGAGGCGCAGTCTGAGGGGGGAGGCGCAGTCTGGGGGGAGGTGCAGTCGGGGGAGATGCAGTCTGGGGGGAGGCGCAGTCTGGTGGGAGGCGCAGTCTGAGGGGGGAGGTGCAGTCTGAGGGGGGAGGCGCAGTCTGGGGGGAGGTGCAGTCTGAGGGGGGAGGCGCAGTCTGGGGGGGAGGCGCAGTCTGGGGGGGCAGCACAGCACAGTGCAGGCTGGTGGTGTGGCCAGACCCAGACCTGGGCCACACACACTTGTCCACAGTAGCCGCACAGACCCCTCCCCCACCCCCAGCATCTGTGTCCAGCCAGATACCCGGCGTTTCAATCTTGTAGTCAGATTGTGAGGGCATCATCAAAGCAATGCTTGGGCAAACGAGAGGAAGCCAAAGAAAGCCAGTCCGGAATAACAGCTAACAGGAGGTTAAGGCAGAATGACCCAGGTTCAAATGGGTATAAGTAACAGAACTGAAGTACGAGTGTTCGTAGAACTAAGACGATGTAAAAGCTAGATGAACAGTGCAAGCTGAAAGGAAGAAAAAGTAAACCACAAAAATAATCTATATTTTCAAAAAAATGTCTCCACGCACACCTCCAGCTACCCATTGAATCATTCTGTGATGTGCTTATCTTTGAAAGAACTAATTGCCTCAGTAATAGTTTAGCGTTCTTACCATAAATGCAAAATACAGACAGAGCTGCATTCATTTTGGAATTTTTTTTGTGAGTCATCGAGCAGGAATGTTTTCTAAAGGAAAGAAGTTAAAGCAGAGAACCTAAATGAGAAGATATATTGCCATCCTTCGGGTGTGGAGCCTGCTTCCCACAGAGCGATGCACAGCAGAGAACTCAGCGCAGGAGTTCACCGTGACCTACTCAAGGAAGGGAAGTGGCTCATTAAAGCAAGACTCATGTGCACCAAAAGACGAAAGGGCTCAGACGTAATTCTTATAACGAGAACTTAGTCACTGGCACAAACAGGAATGACCTGCCCGTGAACAAGATCTGTGAAGTGACATGTCAAAACCACGCTTCTGACTTGGGATTTTATGGAGTCCTTCAAAAAGTTCTTTAGTGCTCTTCTATGTGTCGTGTTGAGCAAATGGTTTGGTTCATATATCAGAAACGAGAAACCTCAAGAAGGAGCAAGGAACAAGTGAATAAAGAAGGGAGGGAGAGAGAAGGGACAGGAAAGAAAGGAAAAGGGAACATGGGCCTTGAACTGTGATCTTCCTGATCCCCAACTCCGTTGTAGTGGGGGTTACAGATATCAGCGACCACTAGGGCCCGTAAGAGCTTAGTAAACCAGAAAATCTCTTTATTGGTACATGATCTAGAACACTCCTAACACACAGGCACACGCATCCATGGTCAAGAATATCTACTGCAGGAGAACTGACAATTATGGAAAATTATAAACGAACACCCATTAACGTAAGAACAGAGAAAAGCAATGTGGGATGTTCATAAAATGAAGTATCACAAAGTAGTTAAACATGAAATCCTATGGTCGCATATAAATATGAACAAATCTCATCAACCCAACACTATGGGGAGAAGAAAGCTTAAGAAGGAGGTGCATGTGTAGCGTGATGGCCAGTTCCGAGGGTGGTGAGTTAGTTCAGGATTCCTGCCTGAACTACGAGCCTGCTGATGTCAAGCAGTGATTCAGCATGGCGAGGGAGAGGGCTGCATAGTCCAAGTTATTTCAAAACTCTGCGATGTCTTACTCCCTAAAGACAGCAAAAATGAACATCTGAAACGCCTCTGAGAAGCGTATGTATGGCAGTGTGAAAAATCGCTTTAAGTAATACTTTTGCAGACTTGATATATATTCCATAACAAAATAATATGGCAAGTTGTTAAATAATCAGGAATCGTAACAAACTTACCCTTCACAGCCAACTATTAAAACGATGACGCAATAGGCACTTCGGGCGATGCTGACCCATTTCCAGTTACAACGCTACACATGGCTCACGAAGGTGATGCCTAACAAATGCTTTCGATAATCAATGATGAGCTTTTGAAAGTGAACAGCTGACCTCAGAACCAGCTCTAGTGAAGCCAGAACTCTGCCACCAAAGATGCATGGAATGAATGTGAATAAAATGGCTGAGGGCCACACTGGTGGGTCACACTTGAAACCTTAGCTACTTGGGAGGCTGAGTGGTTCAAGGCCAACTCAGGCAGAAAAGTCCATAGGACATCTCAATAGAGAGCTGGACGCAACGTTACCCTAGCCAAAACAGGAAGTCTAAGGGGCAGGCCATGCCCAACTGCTTGCATGGAATGAGACTTGGTCTCAAACATAAGGAAAACAAATCCCAGGGCTGGAGGCCTGGCTCCGTGGTAAGGGCTAGCCTACCAGCGCCGGGCTTTGAGGTCAGACTCTTACACACACATCAGCAAAATGTTCATGAAATGCAGAATTCATAAGGTTGTACTTCTTATCAGTACGTTTTTGTATTCCATTTAAATACTTGTATTTACTTGAATTATGGGAATGTGTGACTATTTTCTCAATAAACCCTGCAGACTCTGTCCGTAGTTTGGCCATTTTGCATCTTTCCCCAAAGGCCGGCTAGCCTGAAAGGCTACATCTGTTGCCCGTTCAGCAGGCATTGGTGCTGGGTGCAGGCGGGCGGCCTGGCGCGCAGGGGGCTGGCGCAGGGCTGCAGGAGAAGTGCTTGGTAAAGGGGGGGTCGGCTCCGTCTGCATGCTGCCCTGGGTCATTGGTTTGTGCCAGAACCCCAGAAGCTGTAGAACCCCAGAAGCTGCAGAACCCCAGAAGCTGCATAGCCCAGGCTGCCTTTGGCACTCCCTTCCTTCTGGTTCCTCCTAACTGACTGACTTTCTAGAAAAACCACAGGGTGCTGTGTTTTCTCAACACAGACTGTCTGTCCACCTGTAGTCCGTCTGTCTACCCTTGAGAGGCTCCTCTCGAAGCCTTTGCCAACGCTCCCACAAGTGCTTTCCTTTCCTCCCTTGCCCCGGGCCACTGGCTCTGGCATCCTACGGTCATGTGACAGGCGGCCACCGCGTCTCCTCTTCGCCAGCCTCGGCTGGATGTCTGTAAACCTGATGTGATATCCCATGGATGGCGTCATTCACCTACCAGTCACCAAGACAGAAAAACAAAACCAAGCCAAAGCACCGGGAGACGCGGGCAGGGAGACGAGGGCAGGTAAGACCACCTGGACTTTCGGGCCCTGGGGGTTCTGGGACCCAGAGCCCGCGGGGAGGGACAGGCAGGCGCTCACCTCCCAGCACCATGCCGGCCTGGCAGCACTTTCTAAGGCGGCAGGCCGGGCAGTTCTTCCTGCGGATCTTATCCACAATGCAGTCATTTCGCCCGGCGCATAAGTAGTTATGTTGCCCTGAAAAGCAGACAGAAAGTCAGAATTATTCACGGCCTTTGCAGCGCAGGTGAGTGGACGGCGGGTGGACGCGCTCGGGGAGCCGGTGACCCCGCCGGCCGGGCCGCCCGCCCCTCACCCAAGCCTCAAGGCCAGACGGAGGCGGTCAGTACCATGTCATTTAAACGTGCGGCTGAGTGTGCAACCAAACAAAACGCAGTGTGTGTCCATCTTAAAGACTAAGGAGCTTAGCAGCTCAGCATGGAAGGTTCCAGTGGGGGAGGGGGGATTCTAGGGTGACATCACAGCCTCAAAGGGAGACCCAGCCCGCTGAGGGGAGCCTGGAGCCCAGTCCATTCTCCACCATGGCCATCGCCGACAGGCAGAGTCGGGCCTCAAGACCCACCAAGGAGAAGCATCGTTGTGCAAGCAGAATGCAGGGGCTGCTGGGGGCGGGGGTGGTTAGTTCCTGGAGAAACGATGGATCAAGGACTGGGCAGGAAATGTAGGAGTGGAGCTTGGGCTGCTTGGTTGTGGAAAGCATCCGTGTGTCCATGGGCTGGGGCGGGCCCTGGACCAGGAGGGGCCGAGGATGGCTCTGCCTCCGGGGGAGGTGTTCCGTGTGACTGGGCGATGGCACGGTGGGGCTGTGGGGGCCTCGCGAGTGGGCCTGTGGTCAAAGCCTCGCTGTGGGGGGCTCCCAGTCAGTCGGGCTCGCCCCACCAGCCCACCACTGGAGCAGCCCCAGGACGGAGCCCCCACACCTCTCTTCTCTGTCATTCACCCAGCCCATGAACCCCGTGGTCAGCCACAGGAAGTGGACCGAGGCTGGGCGGAGAGGGGACCACAGGAGAAACTTCAGGGACGGAGCCCGGGGAGTGTCCGACCGGCAGGAGTGCGCACGGCGCGGCGTGGCGCGGTGCAGTGGAAGGCAGGATGCCGGAGACTGCGCAGCACACACCGCTACGTCGAAAATCGATCATTAGAGGTAACTCGTTAAGTGTTTTAGGCTTGTGTCATAAATTGTATTTTCGGGTTACACAATCGCCTCGGGGAGTTGGGACAGCACTATAAAAAGAAAGTTTTAGAGCTGATAAAAATCAGGATGGGTAATAAAAGTTAAAACGGCCTCCTTTGCCGTCCTGATGAGCTGACACGCGCTTGTGCAGTCCACAGGAAGGCAGGCAGTGCTGGGCTTTACGACACGCATCCCTCCGTGGGGGTGCGCAGCCTCTGCTGCCCGGCCTGCGTGCGGGGGCACAGGAGGGGGCAGGGGTGCAAACAGGAGAGCCAGAGGCCTCTGCCAGAGCGACCCCAAGACCGTGACACAAGGCATTTCCCCTTTTTGCTGATAATGGGAGCACATGTTATCTTTCTTTTAGAATAACCAGGAAGACTTCGACATGTATCTTGTCAGAGATTCAGAGCCTGTGCAGGATCATTGCGTTAATAATTGCGGGCAGCAGCGATCGCAACTTCTCTGGAGGTTACTATTCTTCTAACACTGTTATTTGGTTTGGGAAGTTAACACCTAATGGGTCTGCTGTTTTTTAAATTATATACATATAAAGAAATCAAAGTTTCAGAGAATGGTCATCTCAAAAACGATCTGATCTACCCTAAGGTTAAGCTGGCGGTGTCTTCTAACTTTTTTCCCAGGCTGGCCTCAAACTGTGACCCTGATCTCTGCCTTCCCAGAGGCCGAGATTGTAAGTGTGAGCTGACACACCTGGCTCCTGACATTTATTGTCTGTAAGGAATGAGTATTCTCACTGGGTTTGATTTTGTTTTCGTTTATTTTTTAGAAGCACTATAAATGGATTAGTGTGCTGCTTTGTGTTCATCCTACATGTTATCAAACAGCAAGTATTCACACCGAATACTCCCAACAAAGTATTCACACTGTATACACCTGTCGAAGTACTCACACCATATACACCTGACAAAGTATTCACACCAGATACACCCAGCAAAGTATTCACATTGTATACATCAGGCAAAGTAGTCACACCACATACACCCAACAAAGTATTCACACTGTATACAACAGGCAAAGTAGTCACACCATATACACCCAACAAAGTATTCATACCATATACACCTGGCACCAAGGCAGCATCCACCAGTCCCTACATCATGAGAAAATGATCTCATCAGCATCCCACCTGTAATGCAGAGACAAAGATCGGCTTCCTATGAGCCTGCTGTGCTGGACACATGAGCTAAATCAGGGAAAGTGACCCCAGTAACTGGTACCCAGTAAAAGTAAGGGCAGAGCTCATCATTCCCACGGCCCGCCCCTTCCATCGCTTTGAGGGAAGCGCTCCAACGGGAGCTGCATGCCTCATGTCGAGTGGGAATCAAGAGGGATCTGATACGGATGCTAACGCCATTATTGCAGCTCGGCTCTATTATCCGATAGGCACACCTGTCAGACTGAAAAGCACCAGTGGGTCCAACACCTGGGCCTGAAAATCACCCGTCAGGAGGAGGCGGGAGCAAGACAGAGTCAGAACTGGAATTCGAATTACGATTGAGAAAGAAATGGAGAAGACTCAAAAGAAATGTGCTGGGAAAGAAAAACCAGACAGGAATTCAGCAGGAAGATCTGGGTTGTGTCTTAGTTAAAGATGGGCAAACAGCAGAATGTGTGAAGAGGAGAGGGCGGGAGGCAGAGGGGAAGCAGGCGTGGCCTCTGCAAGGCAGGGGTGGCCTGCGTCCGGTGCCCAGCCAGGAGCGCTGGCGTGAGGAGCCTGCCCGGCTCTGCCTGGCACCGGGACGGTGAGAACACGCCAACGGGCTGAGAGCTGGTGAAGCTGGCTCACAGTTGGGAAGTGCGGGGCGCCACTGGCTCCCACCTGTAACCCTCGCTACTCAAGAGTCTGAGATCTGAGCATGGAAGCCAACCCAGGCGGGAACGTCTGTGAGACTCTTCTCTCCAATTAATCACCAAAAAAGCAGAAGTGGAGCTGTGGCTCAAGTGGTAGAGCACTAGTCTTGACTGGAAAAGCTCAGGGAGCCCCTAGGCCCTGAGTTCAAGTCTAACACACACACACACTTGGAAAGCAGGCTCATGAGCTGAAATGAGGGCAGACCATGTTGGAAGGTGGAGAAGAGAGGAAGTGAAGCCCGCCTGCTTCCTCCCCCCACAGGACACCATGTGGAACGAGTGGACAGACTGGCACAGACGCCTTTGTCATGAGACTCCTTTTCTATCGTAATGATGCCTCTCCCCACCCCCAGAAAGTCATCTAGCAAACTTCTACTTCCCCTGATACAATGAGGGTCTTTTGTTTGGCAAATACTTAGTACAGAGGGACACTAGCAAATAGGCAAGGGGGCAGTCTCAGCTACCTTTGATCCATACAGATACCACAGGGCCTCACAGCAAACCTGTGCCTGCCAGCTCACACGAGTCCATCTCTTTAGGCACGGTGTGAGCACTTCATAAAAACTGTTACAAAACATGCTCTGAACCTCACTGGTGAAATTCCTGGAAAGATGAACAAGTCAGAAAACCCTGCTTGCAAGTGTTTAAGTACATAGCTGTGAGACTCTGACCTCTCATAATACTTTTATAACAATAGAATCATCACTCCAACACTTGTTTTAAAATATTCTGTACATAACAAAGATGGCTTTCTGTTTAACTTGAAGAGATGGCATCCTGTCTGCTGAATGTCTTCTAAGCCCTATACTATTGAGACACGTGTCATCAGAGAAGAGGCGATTCAGAAAACATGTCCTTCTGCAAAATAAAACCACAGTCCATCTTTACATCTAAAGACTCCTTGCAAGTACTGGGCAGAGAAAACCAGCAACAACGGGGTGTGATCAAAGAGACTGCCACTGTCCAGCCAAGTGCAGTGGCTCATGGGTCATAGTTTAAAGACAGGCCAAACCAAAAAGTTAGCAAGATCTCACATCAGTAAATAAGCTGGGTACAGTTGCGTTTGCCTGCAAATTCCAGTTACTTAGAGGGCTTGGAGGTGTAGGATCAGAGGCTCAGTCAGGTTCTAAGCTAAAGCAGAACAGGTGTGTGGTTCAAGAGGCAGAGCACTTACCTCGCAAGTGAGAGACCTTGATTTCAGACTTCAGTACAGAAGAGAGGGGGTGGGGAGGGAGGGAGAGAGAAAGAGGACAGAGGAACAATTTTATAGCACAGGAAACAGGTGCGTTCAAGAATATGTCTTTTCTATACATCTTTATCGACTCATTGAAAAGTGTTTTTTATATTTTCATGATTCAAACAAAACCTAGCAACCATCAAAGCTCAGCCACAAAGCTTCTAATGATAATGTTAGTTCACTTAAAATATAATTCTTCCCCGCTCTCCCGCCCCCTTCCCCTCCGCTAGCTCCTAGCTCACAAGCAGAGAGGGGTGGGCGAGAAGCTGATCAGAGAAAGTGGGGAACCCCAGGAGGCTCAGCCCGTGCCAGGCTGCAGGTGGGCGTGCAGAGGGGAAGCAAGTGAGAGACGGTGCCCAGGAGGTCCAGAATGCTCACTGATGCTCACGCGTGGTGTGGAACCACTGCCACCAGATGGACTTCCAAGCCAGAGCTTCAACACTGGAGCCGCGCGGTGCCGCAGCCTGCGCCTCACCGACGGCCCCAGCAGTACTTAATGCCGTGCAAACCAACACACCAGCAACTGCTCCTTCACACTTCCCAGCGGTTATTTACTGCATCTCCGGCAGTTTTCCAGTTGTGTATTGTTGCCTACCAACGTGTTCTGCATGTGTATGTGTTATTTGATGGTAGAAAGAGCAGTAAGCCGGATACATGGATTTTTTTTTTACCCACCATTATTATAGTCAGGGACCTGCAGAAGAGGATCCCTGGGTGGACAGAAATGTGTGCATGACCCCAACGCCTACCATGTGACTTTACAACAAACCATGTGACCATATAGAAAACCTGTACCTGACCCCAGCATGTGACCTTACAACAACCAGGGACTGACCACAGCATGAACCACGTGACCTTACAGACAACCTGAGCCTGACCACAGCGTGTACCACG